AGCATTAGTGGTAATGAATTTAATAACATTGAGGATACTTGTAGCATTAGTGATGACGAACTTAATAATATTGAGAGTAGTAACACAGAAATAAGTATTTTGAGAACTGAAGAAGTGAATAATGTTATTATAAGATTGTTGCAAGCAGTTCCAGAAGTGACTAATCATCGGTTGCTCATGTATGTTGGAAATTCAGTAAGAGCAAAAAGGTGTTGAAGACAATTACAATAAGAAGCTGTAGTTGGAACACCCAAGCTAGAATCATTTTGGTCATCAGTAAGTTATTTTTCAAATGGCTTGTACTTTATAATAATATGAAAAATATTTATTTGAATTATTTTTTTTTTGAATAGATAGTGAATGCATGTACAAGTATGAACAATAGTAATAATATAAGTATGAATGATAAACTAACTAGTTCAGATAGTAATGATTTTGAGGTTAAGATTGTTAGAGACTACAATTTAATATCTCCTAAAAACTTAAACAGTATAATCAAACAATTAGAAAATGAATTCAAAAGTAATGAGTATAGTGAGATCGATAAAGTTCGCCTTTATACAATGTTATCTTATTTGTATCTTGTAGAACATGGCCGAAAGAAAGTTGAAGCAAGTACTATTGTAGCAGAAGCAGCTAGAAAGGGTGTTTATCATGTCTGTTACATACATGCATGAGCAACAAATTATATTCAGAATGGTGCAATTCTGATTTTAAAACAAAGAAAACATTTAAAAACCTGGAGTTTTTTGTGGGATGATGATATTTTGATACAGATTAAGTCTTTTCTCTAATCAAACAAATGGTGTGTTAATGTAAATGAACTGGTAAATCATGTAAATGAAAAAATATTTCCAAAGCTTTGCTTTGATCTATCACCAATGATATGTATAAGAATGGCTAGAAATTGGTTAGAAGCATTTGGGTTTGAATATTCAGAAGTCAGAAAAGGAATGTATATGAATGGGCATGAGTATGCAGATGTAATAGCTTATTGTGAAAGGTTCTTAGAAAGAATGGCTGAATATGAAACACATATGATAGTTTTTTCTGGTGAAAATATGGAAAAAGAAACTCAACCAGCTTTTCAAGATATTGTAATTTTAGTAACACATGATAAGTGTATCTTCTCAGCATATGATGGAAGACATTGGTTATAGATACCAAAAGGGGAGCAACCACTTCGTAAAAAAGACCAAGGGTGGTCAGTTCATGTTAGTGAATTTCTCACTGATGTTGATGGACATTTAGTATTACATGAAGAAGACAAGATAAATGCACAACTTTTAGATTTTATTTTAATTTACTTTTTCTCTATAATTAAAAACTCTAAAATTTATTTTTAGATCGCTTTTCCTAACCTGCCATCAGAAGCTTGTGTTATAACCTACCCAGGTAAAAATGGTAATAAGTGGTGAGATTCTGATGATCTTGTGAACTAGGTTGTAAATTGGGCAATTCCAATATTTGAAGCTTGGTTTTCAGGTACAAAAGCCCTTTTTGTATTTGACAATGCAACTAGACATTGTGCATATTCTGAAGATGCTCTTGTGGCAAAAAATATGAATTTATCTTCTGGTGGCAAACAGCCAAAAATGAGGTTTGTAGATTATTTTAAATTTTTTAAATTCTTTATATATTAATATTTAATTGTTTAAATTTTTAGAAGTACCATTTATAGAGACAACATTCCGCAAGAGATGTGTTTTCCTAAAGATTATGATGATCCTGATTTGTGTAGTAAGCCAAAAGGCTTGAAGCAAGTTTTGAGTGAATGAGAATTGTGGTGTAATGGAATGAGGTTAGTATGTAAGGGAGGTTGTGAAGAAGGAAGAATTGACTGTTGTGCTAAAACTACAATGGCAAATCAATCTGATTTTAGAGCACAATGTAGAAAACTTGAAGAAGCAATTATTTTAATAAGTTATAAAGTTATTTTTTATCCAAAATTCTATTGTGAGTTAAATTACATAGAAAACTTTTGGGAGTTAGCAAAGCAATATGCACAATGTTATTGTAACTATACTTGGGAAGGTTTGAAAAAAACTGTATTACAAGCTCTTGAATCAGTATCTTTTACTGAGATTAGACAATATGCTCAGAAGGCTTTTAGATTTATGGATGTATATCGCAAAGGCTTAACTGGAAAAGTTGCAGAATATGCTGTAAAAAAATATTATTCGCACTCCATGTTTCAGATATGATTTTAAATGAAATTGATGTAGTGAATGAATAACAAATAAGCAAAACAAGTGAGCAAAAGTTTTAGTGTTATTAATGATTTTGTATTTATAATTTTTTACTATTTAATAAATTAAGCTTTTAATTTAGATCAGATTAAAAAAAATTTAAGGCATTTATTTGTTACAAAAATTAAAGATATGATAGAATGTCGAGAATTAAAGTTAAATAAAATAAAAATAAAATATTTATTTATTGTCAAATTTTGATTTTAATAATTTTATTTTGAAATTTTGCTAGCAGCATATTGGTTAAAGGGAGATAGATAACTTTAGTATATATATTGTATGCTAAAATCAAATTGTATTTTTTGCATTACTAAAAAATTGACAGTAATATTTGAAAGTATCAATTATAATATTTATTTGATTTATTAATTATATAAATAAGCATCATTAAGATTATTCATTATTGCGGTTTGCATAATTTTGTGACCCCTATGATATTTTTTTTATGATTAAAATAATTGTAATTGCAATAGCAATTTCTAAAGCCAGCTAATTTATTATGAATTTGTATATATGTTAAGCTCAGATATATAATAAATTGGCCAGCTTTAGCAATCATAATCACAATTACAATTATTTAATCATAAAAAAATTAATCATAGGGGTCACAAAATTTTGCAAACTGCAATAATCATATTGCTTATGATTTTAATTATATCATAATTTGCATATGTATTTGAACAAAAATTGCATGTAAATATAATCATTAGATTGTGCACTATTACTATTATAATCACAATATAAACCAAATACAAATATGAAACTTATTGTGATTTCTAATTTTAATTATTTTATTGTCTATATAATATTCAATGTAATTTAATAATTTATTAACTATCTATAGTTGTGTAATATCTGAATGTTGAGTATACTTTTTTTTAATTTTTTATTATCGATTTGCTGCAATTTGATTGGCTCCAACTTAATTTTGGTCTGGCTTATATCTTGGGCAAAATTTGGCCACTTATAATAAGACTTGCTGATTTAAGGATGCCCGCACTGTATTAAAAAAAAAAATTAACTAACAGTATTGCCAAAGTTTAAAATAAAATTATTATTTTTATTATTATTATAATAGAAAATTTAATTTAAATATTAATAATAATTTATATTGTTATATTATTAAAACTAACTATTTTTAAAATTTTTTATTTATAAAATATCTACTAAGATTTTATATAATAATACATATAAAACTTTTTAAAAATAATGTATGACTTGGCTAAATAAATATTTTAATTAACACTTTATTTTTAGTATATTTTTTTACTTATTATATCATTTCTTTATATATTTTTTTTAACTTTTGCAATTTATATTATTTATACTAAATATATTACTTATACTAAATGCACTATTATGCTACTTATATTATTTATACTAAATTCATTATTATGCTACTTATATTAAATATGCTATTTATACTAAATATTGTTGATATTAAAAATTTTACATTTTTGATCATAACTTTTAATATACTGAACTAATTTGGATGAAATCACTACTATTAGATTTAGCTTATCAAAATGGTCTAATAAGTACAAAATTATATGATTTTAATTACAAGATTATAAGATCAGGATGATTTTAATAAAGTACTAATTATAGTATATATGACTTAGATATAAATAGTTAAATTAGCTAAGTCTCAAATCTCTCAAAAAACATAAATATCACATATATCAAATTTTTCAAATATATTATATATATATTATTTATTAAATTCCTTATATATATAATATTTCTTATATATAACTATAACATAATCTTTAATATTTTTTATCATGTATTATTATATTTAGTATATTCTATTGAGATAACTTAGCTTTATTATAATTATTTATATATATAAAATATCTATAAAAGCACTATTTTCTGATTCTTCAAGAAAGTTAAATGTTTTTATACATTTTATAGTTAATAAACCAAATGCAATATTTAGTATCTTTATATACTATCTATTGTTGCATTTGCCTTAAAATTCTAAATTACTCTGTATTTTTTTAAGTCTTGTATAGACTTTTTATAGAATTTGTCAAGTTATAGTCATTATACTATAGTTAAACAGTTTCTGTTATTATTATAATTAAAAGAAAAACTACAGATTAACAATATACTATTATGTTACTTATTTTAAATATGTTATTTATGCTAAATACATTATTATACTACTTATATTAAATGTATTATTTATATTAAATATGTTATTTTTTATTTTTTTTTTAAGATAATCTCTTTTGTTTTTTAACTTCTATTAATAACTTTTTTGGTAATATGATTCTATAAACTACTACAGAAGAGTGTACAATTGATTATATATATAAATTTTCTATATTATTTATTTAAGAAGTCTATCTAAAACTTCTTTATCAATTGTTATATCTAACACTTTTGTTTGAATATTTTACTTTAAACTTTCTGAATCTATAACTTGTGTTAAATCACTGAGTTATACTTAAATACCCAGATTATTGTCTTAACTTTAGGACTATTTTATCCTTGAGGTAAATTTTTTAGAACTTTCTATATCTATTTTTATAACTAATTTAGATATTGCTATGAAGAACTAACACTTATAATTAAAATTATATTTTTAACTACTATGTTCTTGTAGAGTTTACAAAGATCCCAACATCTACTTTATAGCATAATCTTAGTATGTACTTTAATATACTTTTACCTTTTATCCAACTTTTTGTTTAAATTCTTAATTCAGATAACTCATATAAAACTATAACTAGTTTATTAATATATCAGGTTGACCTGATATTCTTTTTCTCTAATTTGTTCTGACAGCTTAATTGGTGATATCTTTAAAACTCTTAACCTAGAGGTTTTTGTTTGTCTGGATACTATAACTAAGTACTATAACCTTAGTATTTGTTTTTGAGACTAGTTTTTATAGTAGAGCCATTAAAGATTTGGTTATTTTTTTACTTAGATTTTTTCAAATAAACTTCTTGTTATCTAATTTCAACAGATTTATATAACTACAAGAACTTATTTAGTGTTTGTATTGTCTGATTTGTTAATTTGTATTTCTTTGTATAACTATTATACAGATGTTTTATAACTTGTCAATTATGCTAGTGTAATTATCATTACAGATATTCTAACTCAATTATTAATAAAAGTTGCCATAATATAAATATTATATAGATAATTATTCAAATTTTTGCTATTGATAGAATTTGAATACTTAATCTACCACTTGAGGAGTTGACAACCTGACTATTTTATTACTAAATATATTATTATGTTAATTATACTAAATATATTATTATATTATTTATACTAAATATAGTTTTATTTTATTTATGTTAAATATATTATATTTTTTAATTAATATACTTATTACTTTTTAATACTTATATATTCAATTTTGTATAATTGCTTTTAATTTTGGCAATTCTATTTTTATATATTACAATATATAAATTTTAAAATATAAATATATTGCAAAATTTGGTATAATAAAAATTTAAAACAAAAATTATTATAAAAATTATAAAACTAAAATAATATTAATAAAAACTATAAAACTAAAACAATAATAATAAAAACAAGTTTTTTAAAAAAAATTTTAAAGGTTACAATTTGATAATATTATAATATTTTAAAATTTTATAATTATTAAAATTAAAATTTTAGTAAAATTATATATATTATAAAAATTTTTATTTGTATACTAGTGTTTGTATATTATATATATTATATAAATTTATTAGAAAAGCCAATTAAAATTTAAGATTAAATGTAACATATAATTTTTTTTATATAACAAAAATAAAGAATTTTTTAAAAAATATCAATATTTTAAAACTTTTTTTATAAAACTGTTTTTTAAGTTTTAATAACCTAAATTTCTTGCTAAATTTTGTATATAACTATAACTTTATCAAAATTTCAAACTTTGTTCTATTTCTAAAATTAAAAAAAATATTTTTTTGATAAAAATTTTTTTTGTTTATATTTGTATACAAACACATGTATAAATTTAGAAATTATTTATAAAATTAATATTAGTAATACATTTGTTTTCTTTTAAGTATACGTAATATTTTTATACTTTATTCAAAAAAATTATTGAAGACTTAAAGAATTAGTTTTATTTATACATATTTTTTTTAAATTTCAAAATAATAATCATAATATAATAACAATAAATATTTATTTGTTAGTTTGAAAAAGTTTAAATATGAGTCATACGTATTTGGGTATCCTTATTATATAAAGAATGAGTAACATAGATTAAGAAAAATATGTTTCAAAAATAAGATAATATTGATCATCTTGCTGTAAATGTAATAGCTAAATAGAAATAATGCAATCTTTTAATTGATACTTTAGTTGAACATTGAACATTGATCCAAAGTGTCCAAGTGCCTAATTTTGTCCAATATGCATCACCGACTATATTGGACGTCGTCAATCAAAATGTAGCATAGTGAAATTAAAAAAAAAATAGGTATACAAGATTAATTGTAACGTGGTATAATAAATAAACTATATACAGTATGTGGACATCAACTCTATATATATTATATTACACATTATGATTAATGTCATGCCATAAGTAGCACGACGAGGACCCTTAGCCAAGAACTTTATGCAAAGAACCTTTATGGCAAGAAAGCTAGTTGGTTGATTGATTCCCTATCATTCCGCAAAAGTCCGAAAAAATCGATTAAGGACATGAGATTTGATTGGGTCTTGACCAAATTTTATTTCTAAATACACAAATTTGCAATTATTCGCTGCTTAATAAGCACGTGTGTCTAATGGTTTTAATTTGCGTTTTTAGTAATTTTGATTATGGTATTTATTGCCAGAAAGAAAATGTGCTACGTATACCCAAATGTATAATAATAAATAAAACTTTGAATTTAAATCAGCATATTTTGAAACGGAATACTGAACCAAGTATTCAAAGTAGAAATTAGGTCAAAAAATAAAATAAAAATATTGACGTCTAAGGGCATTTCTATTTTAACGCTTTCATATTAATTATTTATCCAAACGAAATTTATAGAATTCAATAACTTATACGTATTGTAACAGACAAACCTCTGTCTAACCTTACGTTTAAGGAAGTATTTTATGTGTTGGAACCGAGCAGAGCTGTGTATTTGTGTCTGTACGTAGAGATTCTTCATAGACAATGCATTTAGGAAGATCTGACTAGTTAATTCCCAGATATACCTTAATAGTTATGTTGTGTGCTTTAATGAACCATTGCTGTAGGTACGTACGTATTTGTTATGCAATTCTACGTATAACTGATAATAAATTCAAATCAAATCATTAAAATTTCTGTACGTATGCATATACGTACAATATAATAAATTAAAAATAGATACGTATACAGTATATATTTAAAATTTCATGAATATACCCAAGTACGTACGTACAGTACCTTAAGTACTTATTAATTAGAAAAGATGAATTTTACAATAACATCGTTAAGGACAACTTTTTTTATTTTTACATTATTCATATTATTTATCTTTACCTTTTGTAGCATTAGCAGACATCTCTATATTGAGCTGAAAGATATTGAAGAAATAACTTTAGAACCATTAGATATCGAGATAAATCGAAAATATTGTGGAGCCAATAAATGTAAATTTTTATTTCCGTATGTTGTTGAAGAGCAAGAAACTCAATGTAATAGACATTTTATCTCTCTCATGCAAATTGCACAACGAATAGACCGCATAATAGTATTACCTAATGTTGGAGGATCTAGTATATCATCACTTAAAAGTTTTCCTTTTGATTTCTATTATAATCTTGATGAACTAAGTAAAAGATTTCCAAAAGTAAAATTTATTTTACAAAAAGAATTTCAAAAATGGGCCAATGAACTATATAATAAACCGGATACCATACATGTTTCGCTCAGAAATTCAAGGTCTAATCCAAAATATATATCTCAATATGACATCCCATTTATTGATAAACTTTTAAAAAAATATAGAATAGGTAGATTTGATTTAAAATTAAATAATTCAACAATATTTAAACGAATAAATGTCGGTAAAAATGGCAGAGGCTCGAGACAAAATCGTGAAAATAATGATCTAAAAGAATTTTTATCTGCTGAATTAGAAAGTAATGCAGAAGTTATGCTGATAACACAAAATGAAATACGAGGTCCACTATTTGAAAGACTCACACCGATGCCATACGCACGTCACATAATTAATACGACATCAAATCTTATAAAAAAATTAAATCCATATATTGCAATTCATTGGCGTATGGAAAGGGGTCAAATAGATCTTATGTCAAAATGTGCTGAAGGTCTTGTTACTTATCTAAGAAACCTTACATTAACAACCGGAATTACTAATATTTATCTGGCTACAGATTATCCACTTGCCGAGAATAACAATAATAAATCACAATCAAGAACATTTCATTATATTTATGAAGAACACCATATAGCAATGAAAATTTTAAATTCCTCATTTAATTTAAATACTTGGGTTTCAACACATATGTTAGATTATCTTAAATCATATCCTGCAAAAGAAGAGCAATTACAAATAGAACTTGAAGGTACTGGTATCCAAGGGATTTTTGATAAATTAATTTTAATACAAGCCGATTATTTTATAGGCGGTCCTAAAGGATGTTGTAGATTCGATAGTACTTATACAAATCATGTTATGGAAACAAGAGAGGAATTATTTAAAAATAATGGGTCAATTAAAAATATTATTGATCGGTGGGAATTGTAAAACTCAATGCAGATTTATATTAATTTAAAGATTAACGTTAGCGTTAGATTTTAAAGTTTTAAATTAGGGCATCGAACAGTGATTACGTATATTGTGAATAGTTAAAGTAAACCAACTTATTATTATGTAGATATATTTATATAAATTTTAGACAATTTCTATTTGTGCACTACGTGTACGTACACGGGTCCTAATTAGAAAACAACTTTGGAGTTTATTCCTTGCAAAATTTTAGTATCATTCTAATCCTAGAACTATATCTTACACGAATTCATAAATTAGTACCTGTGTGTAAACACTATGTGTAAACTAATAAATTTCCTATATTTAAATTATATATAAAAAAAAAAATTCTATATAAAATCATTTTTTTTGAATGAGATTTGATACATGTATTGAGAATTACAATGATAGCATCTTTTGAACCGTCTAGTGCCTGCTGGACCGGGCAAGACAGGACGGTCTATAATTGCGGTAAAACCCGAACAAATAACACAAATTTAGGTCACGTGAAAAAATATGAAAAATATTACACTTTTTTGTGCTTCCTTTAGAGTATTTTACGCGACTGAACTTTTGAGGATTACCTGGATTAATTTGCTAAATGCCTTGGTGAAATAAAATTACTATAAGATATAAATACTTATTAATCAGAAATTTTTACTCTACGTATTAGGAACACAATGCTTATTGATTTGCAAAGCTCAATGAATAATGTCAAAAGTTCAAGAATGGCTAAGCAATTTTTAATGAATTTTAAGTTAAAAAAATCAATGATTCTTGAAATGTATGTAATTAACGATCATTTTCTTTATATAGTATAGTTTCTTTTTTTTACTACATCATTTAATGCTGTAATGTTGTAACATAAATAATTATTATATTCTATACTTCTGTAGCTTCATTTCAAGCACAAAATCATCGAAAATAAATCGACCGTTCTCAATTTACAGAAATTATTGTTCTTCTGAATGTTTATACCACAAGTCAATATGTCGTATTATATATTGGCTACAATCGTGATCTTGATTATGAGTGAGATCACATACCTTTAGATTTTAATTAGAAATATAATAAGCTTTTAATCGAACTTAAGAAAAGGGGATTAATTCCACAAAAATAGAGTAAAAAAAATTCTAGAGGGTAAATTTGCTCGCTAGACGGTTTAAGGGATAATAACATCTGTAAGTCCAGTTCTGTTCGACACTCCTTATCTCTCCCAAAGACGTATATTTGTGAAGAAGCTTATAAATTATTCAAATTTACAATAATAATTACTCTCTCTTATCAAGCGCTAATAAACAACATACCTATTATAGCACATATTGACTCTCACTTCACGGATGTAAATCTTTTTGGAACAGAGTAACAGTGAAACTTTAATACGTATTAGTACATAGTCATTTAATGTTATCAAAACGATATAAGTATAAGTAGTACTACAATATAAGTGCAAAAATTGTACAGGAGAGATCATAAAATATAGGTGTAAGATTAAAAACAAAATTCAAACTGCAATAACTCTTGAACCAAATTAGTATCAGTTCATACTAGTTGAACCTATATTATTGAGCAGCCGAATGTGCAGAATGCATACTGGTATATGTCGGCAACCAACCAATAGCCGAATATTGACAGAACTTGCAGAATGCCGACATTTACCAGTACACATTTGGCAACCAATTAATCTTATTTCAATCAGAACGAGCATACGTACGTATACTGATTTTATTACTTTCGAATACGTACGTAGTAGTTTTTTATTGTTTGGAGGACTCAATTTATGTGCAAAATAATTGTCTTGATATATTTTTTAATAACAATATCAAAAACTTAACTTTTGAAATTTGTCTGTCATTTATGCAATGGTGATTAACAAAAAAATTCAAAATTACGTTTCGATATTTTTATTAAGAATACATAAAAAAAAAATCGAGTCCTCCGCTATGCTCTAAATGATAAAAATAATTAAAAAAATGGCTAAAATGAACTTGACAAAATGAATTTAATTTATGTAGGTTTGCAGATTGAATGTTATATGTTTTTACTATTATATTATCATTTGCACTATTGCTATGTAATTATATAGACCATCACGGTATAAAATATAAAATTTAATTGGACAATCTGGTAACACTAATTCTGATTTTTGTTATTTTTTTTTAAAAAAAGGTTTTTTTTTAGTCTTTTATTTCAGTAATATATAATTAAGTACATTCTGCAAATTAATACATTTAACTAAGAGAATAGAGGTTAAGGTAAATTTATTCTTAACCTATTCTTAGCTAGAATGGTTAAGAGACCTTTAGTTTATAGATTTGGTAAAAAAAAATATAGTTAAACTGTATAAATCTATTGAGTTATATTATATATTGTTTATATATAAAATTTGTAGATATGAAATTAGTATTAGTATTAGAAAAAATTAGCAAAAAAGAGATGTAATATTAAAAATGTTTTCTTTTTTTTTTTAAATATGTTTATATATTTTTTTATAATTCTATAATAGATATTAAAAAGTAAATTTAATTTTTTTTTTAATAGTTTTAGATTATATAAGTTATCTATTATAATCTTAATTAAAACTTTTTAATATATATAAATTTTTTGAATTTTTTGAAATAAGTGGATTATTTGATGTAATTATTTTAATTTCATTTTTTTTGCAGATTTTGATTATTGTTTTTATTATTTTTTTAGTTTTACTTGATTGTAAGGACATGTAAGTATATAATAAAGTTTTTTAAATATAAAAGCATTTTGTATAATATAAATTAATATAAAATTTTAGATTTCTGTTATATAAATTTAGATATATAAGCAATTTAAAAGTTGTTATTATTTTGATTTTAAATGTTTTAAAAAAAAATTTTAAAAAATTAATATTTTAACTAAAAGGTTTGTTTTGAAAATTAAAATATTTAAAAATAAATTTCTTAAAACTTGAAACAACTTTTTCTGATAATTATTTGAACCAAAGTTTTCAAAAAGTCAAACTATAGAAAAATAATATAGTTAATATATTATATTTTATAAAAACCTTTCTGAAGTATTATACATATATAATTAAACATTGAAATGGAGTTAAAAAAGAGTTACAGCTTTGTGGTAACAGTTTAAAGCATACTCTAAGACTATAAAAAAGTAGTTAGTAATATATTAGTTCTATACAACTATAAAATCTACAAATAACATTTATAAGGATTAAAAACTCATTAAAACTAAAAAGTTGATTTATCTAGCACTTGCAATTTTTTTAAAAAAAAATTTGATAAAAGTGAATGATTTAGTTTATCTTCTTCTAAAGATTAATATGTAAAATTATCAAAACAGTTAATAGTATTTATTTTTTAAACAGAATTGTTGATAACATAAATCAGAAATAATACAGTAATATAAACACAATTATACACATACCTCAAGCTATTAAAATCTGTTAAATATTACTTTCAGACTAACTAGTATTCTATGCTGATCCTTTATAATAAAATTAAAGTTTTTTCTTTTTGGTTTTTCGTTAAATAATTTAAGTAAATAGAAAAATAGTAGAATAATTTCTATTTATTATAGTTTATAATTTTTATAAGCCTAGCACAGACTTATA